GTGAGGATGATGGAACAGTGGTAGGTTTGGTGAATGTAATGGATGTGATTTATGGTTGTGGCGGTGCAGATGGTTGGAGATCCATTTTCAATACTACATTGGACCTTKATGATCTGTCCGACACAGCTTCGATTGGAAGTGCAAAAAGCAACACTATCGAGGCTGCAATGGGTCGATCCAAAGCTTCCTCCACGCGTTCGAAAGGAAATAAGACTGTCAAGAATCTTCGCCCAAAAAAACCCATACTTGCTTCTCCCGATGATACTATCTTAGCAGTTACAATGAATCTTGCCAGGAATAGAAGGGATGCCGCAATTTTGGTTGATGATGCAGGGAACTTGTCCGGAATTATTACTGATACAGATATCACAAGACGTGTTGTTTCGAAAGGAGTGGATGCCAAATCTACTCTTGTTTCGGATGTTATGACACCAAATCCAAAATCTGTTAATGAAAATGGCTCTGCAATGGATGCTATGATGCTAATGATCGAGAATAGTTTTCGCCACATACCTGTTGTCGGTCAACAGGGTGTTGTTGGAACGTTGGATATTGCTAAATGCCTTAACGATGCAATTTCAAAATTGGAAAGCTCTGCCTCCAACAAACCCAATGCTGCAGAAACACTGATGAAAAAAGCACTTGATTCAAAAGTTGGTGCCGATGCAGCTGCCCTTGAAGATCTTCTATATCCACTTCTAAGTCAGGCGTTCGGTACCGATTCTGGCATACCATCATTACGAACTATTGTTCGCGATAGAGCTTGTGCAATTGTTTCTCCTGAAACAACTGTGTCGGATGCAGCCACTCTCATGGCGGAGAATCGAAAAGCTTCGCTTATTGTTGATGGCGAACAACTTGTAGGAATTTTCGGCTTCAAGGACATGATGACCAGAGTTGTTGCTGCCGAGCTCGATGTATCATCTACTACTGTATCCATGGTAATGACGCCAGATCCTGAATGTGCCGATCCTGGTATGTCCGCTATAGAAGCTTTGAAAATGATGCATGACAATAAATTCTTGACGCTACCAGTGTGTGATGAAGATGGATCTGTTATTGGTATCGTCGATGTAATGGACCTTATACATGCGTGCGGAGGAGCCGATCACTGGCGGTCTATTTTTGAAGTCGCTTTGCAAGTTGATGATTACACGGTCAATGAGTCGATCAACACTCCAAAAAATAAGAACAAATTTACGACAATCAAAATCTCAAAAGATGCCCCTATGGTTTCATCGCATCCCGCCATTCAAACCATTCCAAGCAACATCCCATCGACACTAGAGTTCCAGGACGGTGTGAACGATGATTTCGACGAAACCACTTTAAATGATACCTACAAATTGGAGAATGGAAGTTTCTTTTCCGAAGGAAATGCCGTTACTTTCAAGATTATTGATCCTGATGGTCATACTCACCGTCTCCGTTCCGAAGCGAAGGTTGGCTCTCTTCGCAAAGTGCTGGCAGGCAAGTTAAAGGACAGAAAGAACGCGATGAACATTACTCTGAAATTCATTGACGAAGAAGGGGATGCAATATTGATATCTACCGACGAAGATTTGGCAGAGGCTGTAATGCTCGCTCGTGGTGCTTCTCAGGGAAGCAAGCTCGTAATTAAGTTAATTGCCGAGGATTCGTCCGGAAACTCGAACGGACCCGATCCCATGTTGCTTGTTGGAGTTGGTGTCGCAATCCTTACCATTGCTATCGGAGCCATGATGCTCTCTCCGAAGCAGGCGAGAAGAGCTTCACGATACTAGGAAAAGATGAAGGAAATTCCTTTCAATAAATATTGCATATATACGAAGTGCGTTTCTATTAATGTTCGACACTAGACATACCTGTACTCTCGTTCAAACGTTGAATTGGTGGTTACCATTGGCCACAGCAACAACGTCGTACTGATAGATATTATTTACTTCCTTTCGCATCGTCGTTTATTGTTTCTTTGGTGCGTTTCTTTGAGAGGGAGTTAATCGAAACGGTTTCGATTCTTCGAAAGGATCGGCGATCTCCTTGTGATTTTTGGCTGCGTCCGCCCACCATTCCAGCTGTGAAAAGCAGCGACCGCAATACTCTTTCCATCGCTTGGGGTCAGTTGTAGGTGTTCCATCGTCGTCAATTGCATCCTGCGGTAGAAAAATGAAGAAAAAGAATGAAATAGCGCCACGAAAGCAACGACATTATGGCGCCTCTCTCTGTCAGAGATTCCGTGGGACGGATCATGAGCTGTGTTGCGCACGCTTATCGAATTCGATTCGTACCTGTGCATTCGGTATGTGGATCATCGCACTAACTGCAGCCATGGTTTCGAACAACAAGCAAACACGATTCGTGTCAGTACTTCACCAAAAGAAAAGAGACCCTCTGGGAGATGGTGCCGGTATCACATCAGAGTGGAATCCAAACGGACGGATTCGATTCGACTCGATTCCATTCCATTCGATTCTATTCTATTCCAGCGGCTCGTACCTGGCAGGGCCCCCAGCTCGCTGAGGATCGGCCGGAGCGCGATAGCGGCCCTCGTACCCCCCCACTGGCCGGCCGAGTAGCTGACGATTGCGCTCGGCTTGAAGGAGAAGACGGACGAGCCAAAGTGGTTCAGAACGTTCACGAGACCCGGAGAGGGCGCGTGATTGTATTCGGGGGTGATGCACACGTAGGCATCGGCTTCCTCGAGCACGGCCCTGGCCTCCCGTAGCGGTTTCGGTACGGTTCGTCGGTGGTGGGCAAACTCGGGCTTTTCGAGCAGCGGAAAGTCCCTCGGATCGATCTCGGCCACAATTGTGTTTCCTCGCTCCTCGAGCTCGTGTCGTACAAAGCTCGCAATGCGGGGACCGTTGATCGACGGGGGGCCGGACGTTCTCGTGCTCCCCGTTACAACGGCGATTTTCAGTGCCGTGCACGAAGGGATCCTGCCCAGCGACGAAAGAGCTCGGTGGCAGAGACACGTCCCGATGATTGCGGTTCGGAGTTTTCGAGTGTTGCACCGGCCCCGTAGCAAATTCATAGTACAACTCAAGATTAGCTAGTGATTTCAGTGGAGCAGGAGACGATACGTACACTATCTCGGGATATGTCGTTTGTCGAAGATGAGTCAACATCAACTCCATCAAACCAGAAAACATCACGCTTCACAGGTTATCGGAACAATTTCCAAAAATAACCAAAAACAGGAGAGATCAAAAACCGAAATCAAGAATTTTGCGTTTGACTCAAACGAGTCGAATCAATTTTTTGGGTACGATTCACTGGATACCGGTACTACGGTACTTTTCACTTGTGCACAGGAGCCGTTGAACTGGAAGAATTCTCGCTGCAGGAAACCAGACATCATTGCAATAGGCAATGATCAACAATTTAAGGATCAGTGGTGTGACACAAGTTGAAACATCTTACTATTGATATCATAATTTATTTTGAGAGTACAAGTACCTTGTCATTTACAAGTCTTCAATGCAAGGATGAGTATTTTGTTACCAACTACCAGACTGTCTCTAGCAAGATTCATTGCTCATTGCTCTTTGGAGTGATCCAGCTTGCAGAAGAGAAACATTATGAGATTGGTGAAACTTATTACCTTGATAGAAAAGAAGAAAAATGACAAGAGTGTGTCATGTACACAGAAGAATAGAGAAAATATCATGAGTACTAGGTTGCATGAACCACACAAACACAGAAAATAATACAATTGCGTCACCAAAACACAATAAGGTGACAATTTGCGTTCTTGCTGTGTTTTTTATACTGGCACAAAGACTAATTTATCCCAACCCCACACATGATGTTGTTACAATGCATCAAAATGCTTTGCTTGATGGCAGGGCAATCCATCTTGCACAATGATTGTCCGGAATGCTTTGGTTTCTCTGGACCATGATTTCTAGGACTGTGCACAGGTCACAATATCCTACATGTGCAGCAGGCTATTGGAGGAACCAATTAGATCTGGCTATGTTCCCTTCCTATGACCACTTGGAATGTTTCAACGAAGAAGAATAAGGAATTGTCATGATGAAGACTTGTGGAAGACTGTCACCGACATTGCAAAACTCTCCAGATGCCAGAACCAATTGGCAAATTTGATCCACAACAATCCAGGCATTTTGAATGCTTCTTACCTTTGGATGTGCTATTTTGCTCTTGAAAAGTACTGGGTGGTGATTCCCTAGCATCTAAAAAACAATCAAGGCGAATACCATGAATAAATACGAAACATGCTCCTACATCCAGATCGTCTGACTTTCATCAGACTCTAACTATATTACGGTGCAAGGTAAGAGTAGTACAAGAAAGAAATCCTACCAGAGCAAAACATATCCTGATCTTTTGACTCCTGTCGAGAAAACACCGGAATGCTCTCGAATATCGACAATAACATCAGCAGTCAACACCTAATCCTGTGCCACACGGAGTGCACGAGTCTATCGATTGGTTTTGGCAGCTGACTATTCGATGCGGACAATCACAATTCAAATCATATGACTTCTGATACAGGGGTTATTACGTGCCTACAACTCTTGAACCTCTTCTTCTTCCGCATCGTCTTCGTCAGCTTCGACGTCTTCCTCTTCCACCACGGTATTGGTGGCTTTCTGAGACTCTCTCATTAGTTGTTCCATCCTTTCCGCGTTTGGATCTTTGACCTTCTGGATGGTATCGGGATAGTACTTCTGGACGAGCTTCCCCATCAGGTTCGCCATTTTTCGCGTCGTGTCTGCCTTTTTCGACAGGTCCTTTGCCTTCCCGACCGAATCCGGGCTAAATGTTTCGTAAAATTTGTGCAGCAGGTCTTCGCGCTTCGCGGGGGCGTCCTCCGCCGGCACGCATTCGCAGTGGGAATGCTGCACAGCGCTGTAGGGCTGGCAGTTTTCCAGGCTCACCATGATGGAAAAAATGCTCGCGCGCTGGTTGCATTTTTCCTCGTCGTCGCCCTTCTCGCTGCAGTTTTTCTCGACGCATTTCTTTAGCTCCTCGTCGCACGCCGTCTTCACCGAGCCGCAGGTTTGGAGGCAGGCTGCACGCTGGTCGCAGCAGCGCTCATGGATGTCGTTGCTTCCATCGGTTGCGCCGGAGGTCGCTATCATGCCACCCCCAAGGGAGGAGCAGCCCGAGGACTCGAACGAGAGGGGCCACTTCTGGACCGGTGTGAGCCCCTTTCCGCATGTGTAGGGCTTGCAGAACTTTGGCTGGCCGCCGTTGAAGTCGAAATTCGCCGCGACCAACACGGTCGGTGCCCAAATTAGGAACGACAAAGCACAGCACTCAAAGATCGATCGAAGAGGAGCGGCCATTTTCCAGAAGTTGATTTTCTAGGGTGGTGGGTGGCAGTTTCTTTTTTGATCAATTCTGATCGAAGTGATCCATATTGTAGTTTACAGTACCAGTAGTATTTTATGAAGTACGAGTACTTTACCATTACCTACTTCTTACTTCGACGTACCGGTAGAAGTAACGTCCTAAAAGTACATCGTATTTTTTTGTATCCTTGTAGATATCCTTGTAGATGACTCCCGAACCGCACGAGGTAACTCGTACCGTTCGATTTGCCGCAGGGATCGGGATAGATAAATCCCGCAAGAAAACTGTTCTGTGCTAGTTTAAAAACTTACACGTGGAAGTAATTTCGTGCAGATGTTGTCCACAAGAACAACATCTAATTCTCGTACGGTACGAAACTGCAGATGAGCAATGAACTCGTGTGAACCCCTCCATCTAGAAACTACGGTTGCTTACGTACCATACCTACTGTAAGAAGTATTTTCAAAATTTCAAAATTGTCACAAATCTCAAGATCAGAGCCCGTTGCATTAGTCTAGTATTGGCGAATACTGTATTATCTAGAGCAACCGAACCTACCATAGCACTCAGTACATTTTAGAAGAAAGAAGTAGTGGCAACAGTATGGCGTCTGAAAACACCGACGGGGCAACACTAAAAACGCCGGCAGCAGCAAGTTTTCCCGTAGAAGCCCGCGTCATTCTCAAGGGCTTGGTCAAGGCCCCCCATCTGAATGGGAAAAGAGGAGTGGTTCGCTCTGGTCTCACCGATGCCGGGCGCCACAACGTTTTCATCCAAGACCTCGACAAATCCGTGGGTCTTAAGCCCTCGAACTTAGAATACGAACCGATTTCACTGGACGATCTATCGGTGAAAGAGCTCAAACTCATTCTCAAGTACAAATGCCTGCAACCGAAGAATTTGGCGGGTATGGACAAGAGCGACCTGCGGGTCGAGGTCTCCTCGTCCCTTGGTGAGTCCGAGTCGCTTCCCAAACTCCTTGCCAATGCAAAAGCCAACAAGGACGCATTCATCCCCACGACGACCACCCACAGCCAGGCCGCGGATCAGCTGAGCAAGATGTCCCCGGACCAGCTCCGGCAGCAGGCTAAGATGATGAGAACGATGGACCCCGATGTAGTGAGGCGGATGAACCCGCAGCTGGCAAACGCCTCAGACGAGCAGCTTAGAATGGCGGCAGATCGAATGGAAATGATGGCCAACAATCCGGAGATGATCAAGATGGCAGCAGCCCAGATGAGGGGAATGGGTCCCAATCCCAACGCAGCAGCAACAACTTCCAATTCTTCGAGGTCAGCAGCAGAAATTCCCACCGCATTTCCCACACCGACCGCCTCCCAGACCAAGCAGGCCGCGGACATGATGAAAAACATGACCCCGGAACAGTTTCGGCAGCAAGCCCAGATGCTCAAAACGATGGATCCAGATGTGATCCGGCGGACGAATCCTCAACTGGCCCACATGTCGGATGCCCAGATCAAAATGGCGGCGACCCAGTTCGAGATGATGGCGAACAATCCAGCGATGATGAAAATGGCCATGGACCAGATGAAAAACACCAGCCCCGAACAGCTTGAAGCCATGAGAAAGGGGCAGATGCCGGCAACCGCTACAACCCCGGGTGGTGTGCCGTCGCAGGCCAACATGGCTCAGATGGGAGCCGATCCATCCGAGATGCTGGCCGGCATGGACAAGAAACAGCTCAAGGAAATGCTCAACACCGTGAAGGACAACCCTGAAATGATGAAGCAATTCGCGGACATGACAGGAATGAGCGAGGACCAACTGCGTCAGGGAGTTGAGAGTTTTGCGGGGATGGACGACTCGAAACTGGAAGCAGCCCTCACCATGATGAAGACCGCGCAAAAGGCTAAGGATGCCTGGGCGCAGGCCGATGCGAAAGTCGGCGGCAAGCTGAAACACATTCTAATCGCTTCGGCGGTCGCGTTTCTTGGATGGATCGTTTGGTACTTTTTCTTGAGAACGGCTGCGGTGGATGCTCCTCGGGTGTTTGCCGACCTCCACCAACAACACGCAACAGAAGATATCATCGATGACGACCCGAACAGCGAATTTTAAAGACGCGTTAAAGACTTTTCCATGAATAGGCTAACCTGTAATATCTTTCGTAGAAAAACCATTTACATGGATACGTACGTGCATCAAGAATGCAGATAATGCAGTTTTGTGCTCAGTTTTATCTTCAAACCGACGGGAACCGTGCATAATTGCTGGAGGTTAATATATATTAATTTAGATGCTTCTATGTGTGTTTGTGGATCATTAACGTCGTCTTGCCTGTCCCATAGAATCCAAATCGGCAGGGCATACGACCGATTCCAAAATAGTTTTGCTGTCAAAAAACAACACAAGTGCGACCCCCCGACAAGGATACGTTCCACGGCTTTCTACAAACTAACAGAAGACACCCAAGCGATGTACTGTTGCACAACATTGTAGGTCAGGGGCAGTTCGGTTTATTTTATGCTGTTTAATAACCTTCTAGCTACATCACAGTATATTACCAGTTGAATCCTGCGTGGGAAGAAAAGGTACTCTTGCCATATGGTAGATGTCCAATATCTATGGCATCGCACGCATAAACGATGAACGAAGGAAAATAGAAAAATGCAAATATAAGTGAGAGTAGAGCAAGACGGAAATAATGGCTTGTGTGTGTTTCTCTCTTTCCTTTGTCTATTGTCCTTTGCCATTCGATAGCCTGTGTTGATTTTTTCATGCGTCACACACACGCAAACACACACCCATGGTACACGACAAGATACGGCACCAAGAAAAACATGAAACATTTCTAGAAACAAAACTCACCCCCGAGCATCCGGCAGTTCACCGAACCGGTCGGACGGATCGTCAGGTACGTCAGAGAGCAGTTGAAGGTGCACAACCGCAGCCACGCCTCCGGTGGGATCTGCAGGGCCCGGCACAAAAAGTACCGGATGACGTTGGCGTGGCAGACAATGACCTCGAACTCGTGGCGGCCCCCCTCTTTCCGTTCCCCGCTGTTGGGGTCGGCGTTTGCGCTTTCGCTGGAGTTGCCGGCAGCCGCATCGGCGTCGTGCTCGATGCTGGCTTCCGGGAGGTCCCCCGCGCGGTAAAAATACCGCTGAAAGGCCGCCTCGATCCGTCGGTGCGACTCGTCGGTTCTCTCGACGGTCGAGGACGAGGCCCTCCCACCGGGGATGTTGTGGGCCGGTCGTCCCTCGTTGAGGTCGGGGTCGGGTTCCGCCCGCGGGACCTCCGGAAAGTGCGATGCGATGATGTCGGCGGTTTCCTTCGCCCGGGCCATGTTCGAGACCCGGACGACCTTCACGCTGCAGCCCCCGAACTCGGTGCCGGCAACGCCCTCGATCATTTCCCTGAGACGCCTGCCTGTGTGGTCGGCCTGTTCACGTCCCAGCGGGGTGAGGAGACGCTTCTCGTCTTCCTTCTCCTGCTCGTTGTACTGGCCGTGCCGGACAAGGATGATGTGGCGGGTCACCCCCTCCTTCCGCAGCTTGCGCTTTCGGCGGCGGTCCTCGTCCTTGCTGCCCGTGGAGGCGGGTTCCCGGCCGTCCCAGTCTTCGTCCCACATAGGGTACTCCACCTGCAGATGGGACGCAATGCAACAGAACGCCATGCAGCACAAAAGCAAAGAACAAGATCGGATAGATCAGCACCACACGCGAATTTTGAATGAACCACAAATCAGACAGCTGAAACAGGGAAGGCATTTATATCTCTTCCAAGATAGACTTGTCCACTTTGATTGCTTCAAGCAATATCAGCTTCGCCCAATACGGCATTCATTGCCACAAAAACGCACCCTTGGTTGCCATAGCTGCCGTTTCGGAAATAGTTTGTGAAACTCCCCGGTTGCGGACGGATTCATCCCGGCCTTTGGTTTGGAAGAAGCTTTCAGGAATTCGGACGCATCGGGCTTCGACGACTCGATCGCAGGGCTCGCATCGCAGCTCGCCGCTCCTGGGTTGGAAAAGAAGGAAGGAGACGCAGCGAGTGTCGCTGCGGCCGCCGGCAGTGCCCGGCGGGCAAACAATCGGGATGCCATTGGAATCTGGGTGCGGATGCAACGGAAACGAAAGCTATCGAAAGAGAGGACTGCTGGCTGCTATTATAAAAAATGGCTTGGGCTTGAGCTTCGTCTCGGCTTGGTCTGGTCTGTTCCTGTGGAACAAGGGTAAGAAGAGATGGTCAACAATCGGTTTCAACCGATCTTGCTGTTGAAATGTTTTTATGCCAGCTTGTTGGAACCACAGTATTGAATCTTTCGTCGAACGAATATCCATCCGATGCCTTTCTAACGGTCAGTTGTAAGGAGTGAGGTTATTCACTAGCTACTCGGGATTTAGCCTCACACGACCGGGACGATACAGGACGTACGAGTACTCGTACTCGTTCGTACCCGTACCGGTACGTTCATTCCCGAAGGAGAATAGTTTGTACGGTTGTACTGTGTATTGGTACCGTACGTACGTACTAGTCCGTTCCTCCACTATGTAATGGTACAATACAGTCATTGGGTTTCGAAATTTGAAATCCCGATTCCAATTCAAATCGGGACAGAACAAAATACATAAGAATGCAGGATACTAGTAGGCTTCTCAACAGGCGTCCGACACGAATGCGAGAAAAGAGAACGAGTACGATTACAAGAGCCCTGACATCGACTTTTAATGCGAACGGGATCATTCTTGTTCAGAATTTCATCTGACCATCCACCATCAACGCAATCCAGAACGTCAGTCATCGCGATCGGTCGTTCGGTGAAATTGACCGAGCAATAGAACACGAACCGGCAACGCATCCACTCTGTTGGACCAGAAAAACAACGATGAGCACTACCCGTAGTCGGACCCGTGCTAGGGCCAGTATTTCGATGGCGTTGGCAGTGACCTTGTTCCTTTCTCTAGAGACGTCGGTGGTAGCCATGATTCGTTCCGTGGAGTCTGCATCTCCGTTGATTTCAAAGGCGCCCACCACCAAGAACATTGATGTCGACGTTGATGTCGACGTGGACTCTGATGGCATTAACGACATCGAAGTGAACAACTCCAATTGCAAGCAGCGGGGGAAGATGCTCAAGGAACGATTCGATGAGCACGATTTGCTGCGTGCCTACCAAGAAATCAAGGCCGAGTACCAGGAAAAGGCCTTCGGAGGCAGCTGTGATGCAACGGACGGAAGCCAAAGCATTGGCAAAGGACAAGAAGAACCACCGCAATGGAGGGTGCTCGCCACAGTGAACCCAAACAAGGGGAAAAACACTAACACCGAACACGACGACGAACTCATCGTTGTGTCGATGCTGGAGCACCCCTCCGACCCTCTGTGTCCCTACGTAAAGATGGAAACGGTGATCCCTGTGCCCGTCGAGAAATGCTGGAACTTTTTGTCCCTGGATCGGTGGGACGAGACCATGCCCAGGATGGACCCCTTTTACGAGGGCCTCGACGTCTACGGAGAGTACGCGGTGGCGAGCGGAAGCGGCGGAGAGGGCGATAAAAGCGACCACGACGCCGCGCGATGCCAGCTCGTCCGCATGATCCTCGCACGGAAGCGCACAAAACGGATACTGGCCTTTGGAAAGCGGGAGTTCGTCTTTGTGAGCGTCGAGGATACCCCACTGCAGGACGGAACATGGGTCTCGGGAACCGTCAGCGTCCAGGTGGACGAATCGTCGCTGAAATCGCCGCTGAAACGGAACAAGTCCTATACGAGGGCCTTCCAGGACTCGATCGCCTTCTACAAGCCCCTTCCGAGCAGGGCGGCCACGGAGGGGAAGGCAGGCGGGGGCGATGCCGACCACCGGTCGGGCCGGACCGGCCTCACCATCGTGTGCCGGATCGACCTCAATGACTCCAACGGAAGGGGGGGATGCATACCCATGTGGCTTTACGTGAAAACGATCGGGGCGACGGGGGCGAAATCCGTTTGGAACATGCGCAGGTGCCTGCTGGAAGAGTATGCCTAATGCTGCAGCAATCGGTCGAAGCCATAGCCGTGCACCTCACACGTGCCGCGGAACGGCAATCAAATCCTCCCACAGTTTGTATCGAAGAATACTACACATGGAAAATGTGCGTGCGACACAATCGTACCAATGCAAAGAAACTCTAAGGAAAAGTGTCTGCTATCACATAAACATATTTAAGTAGAGGATTTATCATAGCAGTTAGATAGATCAGGAAAGAACAACTAAAAATGTATCAGTTGTATTTGTAATCTGGACGACACATTACCCATCTTTTTTCTACACGTTTTCATTTACATAAAGGGCACAGACATGCATTGCTGTTTCCTGGCAATCGCACCGCAGTGCTCTTCCACACGATCCAACATACAACACGGGCGGCGGCTTCTAGCGTGTGTTCGCCGCTGTCGTTTTACAAAAACATGGCAGCGGCGGCGGCTACGACGGCAGAGCCCAGGAGGCGCAACGAAAAGGCGGAAGAGACCTCCTGCGCGGATTCCTCGGCGCCGCACTCGGCCTCGCCGTCGTGGCAGTGGCAGGTTTTTTCCTTCTCGAGACCGCCCTCTCCGATGCAGTGGACGGCGTCGCCGTCGCAATGGCACATGTGGTCGTCATCGTGGTCGTCGTGGTCTCCGCACTCGGCCTCGCCGTCGTGGCACTCGCAGGTTTTTTCCTTCTCGAGGCCGCCCTCTCCGAGGCAGTGGACGACGTCGCCGTCGCAATGGCACATGTGGTCGTCGTCGTGGTCATCGTGGCCATGGTCATCTTCTTCGCAGTACGCTAGTCCGTCCTTGCATTCGCAACCGGCTTCCTCCTCTTCGTGGAGGCAGTGAGGGACATCACCATCACAGTGGCATTCGCCATGGTGGTCAAAGTTGTCGCC